TGCCCACTTACCCGCATCGCTCGACCCACTGCTCGCCAGCCAGCATCGCCTGACTCGCTGCTACTGCCGCGCGCTTCGTCTGCCCAGCCGCGCCGCTGCTTCCTCTCTACCCAGCGCGCCCGATCCCATCGCCCGCCAGCCGTGCCAAACTCCGCTCGCCGCCCGCCAAGCCGAGTCCGCCCGCCAGCTTCCCACCGAGTCCGCCCGCCAGTTGCACCCAATCCTGCCCGCCAGCCGCGCTCGACTCCGCTCGCCAGCTGCACCCGTAACCCGCTCGCCTTCCCAGCCGCTCCACGCGAAGCCCGTAACTCGCTCGATCGCCGGACACCGACCGCCGCTGCCCAGCCGCCGCCGTCGGACAGCGATGGCGTCCACCGGTCCGTCCGCCGCCGTTGCCTTACGGCGCGGCCCCGCCAGCCCGTCCCGACTTGCCGCACGGCTTGGCTCCGCTGCCCCCACTGGCGTACGTCGCCGCCCCACCGCCGGCTCTCTTCGGCCAGTCCATCGTCGCCCCGCCACCGGCGCCGACTTTGCCTGTCGACCCCTTGTTGTTGCGCGGGGCATTCGACGCGCCTGTGTACGGGGCTCCTGGGTACTGGTGGGGGTCGTCAGCAGGCCAACAGGTTTTTCCGGCGGGCCATCCGGCCTACCCGGCGCAGTCGCAGTCAGGGCTGCTTCCCATACCGCCTGGAGAGTACCCATCGCCGTTGCCGAGCAGTGGCTACGACCTCCCCATGGCGTCTCCGTCCCCCTCGTCGGCCCTGCCGTCGGCGCCTTGTGACCCGGTGCTCCTTCCCGCACTGCATGCCGCTTTTATGCCGAACAACTACACCAGAGGTGATGATTGGTACATGGACACCGAGGCTACAGTTCACATGTTTGCTTATCCTAGTAATCTTGCCTCCTTCGCCCCCGTTACCACCGACCTCCGCATCATTGTCGGCGACGGTTCCACACTCCCTATCACACATGTCGGGCACACTTCTTTTCCTTCTAATTCCATGCCTATTACTTTGTCTAACATACTTGTGTCACCTCATCTTATTAAGAACCTTGTTTCCGTTCCTCATTTAACTCGTGAAAATCCTGTTAGTGTTGAATTTGACAAGCTTGGGTTTTGTGTCAAGGACGCTCGAACCAGGATGGTACTTCATCGATGTGACAGCCTCGACGAGCTCTATCCTGTGCATTCGCCGTCCACCTCCACCACCGCACCGGTTGCTCTCTCCGTCGGCGTCGATCTCTCGCACGCTCGTTTGGGTCATCCCAATCCCGTCACACTTCGTCATATTCTTAGGAGTTTCAGTTTCAGTTGTCATAAGATAGAGGATCACACCTGTCATGCATGTCGTGTCGGCAAACATGTTCGTCTCCCATTTAATAACTCCACCACCATAGCTTCTTTTCCTTTTCAATTGATTCATAGCGATGTGTGGACCTCTCTGGTTCCTAGTAATTCGGGCTATTTATATTATCTGGTTATCCTCGATGATTATTCTCATTATGTGTGGACTTTTCCTTTGCACAGAAAGTCGGATGCACTCTCCACTTTGACGCCTTTTTACTCCTATGTTAGCACGCAGTTTGGGCGTCCCATCCTTGCTCTTCAGACTGGCAATGGAAAAGAGTTCTATAACCTTGCTTTCCGCACTTTTCTGTCGCACCACGACACAGTTTTTCGTCTCACATGCCCGTATACTTCCCAGCAGAACGGTCGAGCCGAACGCGTCCTTCGCACTCTGAATGACTGCGTTTGCATGCTCCTGTTCCATGCTAATGTGCCGCCTCGTTTCTGGCCGGATGCACTGGCCACTACTTCTCTTCTCCTTAACCTTCGCCCTTGCCATCCACGGTGGAACTATGCACCTCACCATCTTCTCTCTGGTACGCCCCCATCTTATGATGACTTACGCATTTTCGGGTGCCTTTGCTATCCTAGCACTGTCGACTCCGCTCCTCACAAATTCGCACCTCATTCTGTCGCTTGCATCTTTATCGGCTACCCCTACAACTCCAAGGGATATCGGTGCTACGATCCCGTCTCCCACCGCGTGTTCACTTCTCGGCACGTTTACTTTCATGAGCATGTGTTTCCGTTTCACCAGGTACCCCAGGCTGTTCCTCCCACACCGGTGACGCGGGCTCCTCGACGCCTCTCCCAGGGCGCTCACGCGCCTCTCTTGGGCCGCCCTGGCTTTGAGGCGCGCCTCCCGCATGCGGCGCCTCCTACCGCCGCGGCGCTGGCACCCTCGATGTTGGTGCCCGTGGTCCCCTCGGCGCTCGCGACCCCCCTGCGCCCCGCCCCCCTCGGTGCCCTCGGTCCCCCCGACGCCTGTGGTCGGTCCGGTCACCCGCGCCTGTACGGGCATTTTTCGTCCGAGCTCGCGCTACGCCTCGGATGACTACGTCCATGCGGCATCCACCTCGGAGTCGTCACCGTTACTGTCCTTCGTTCGAGCCGCTCTTAGTGACCCGCTCTGGATGGCCGCGATGCAAGAGAAGTTTGACGCCCTGTTGCGTAACCGGTCGTGGCAGCTTGTTCCCCGTCCCCGGCACGCTAACGTGATTACCGGGAAGTGGGTCTTTAAAAACAAGCTCCGTCCTGATGGCACCCTTGATCGCTACAAAGCGCGTTGGTCGTTCGTGGCTTCCGACAGCGTGGTGGCATCGACTTCACCGACACCTTCGCTCCGGTCGTCAAGCCCGGCACGATAAACACGGTTCTCCACCTTGCGGTCTCCCGTGCTTGGTCGGTGCACCAGATGGACGTCTCCAACGCCTTCCTCCATGGTCACCTCGAGGAGCAAGTCTTCTGCTAATAGCCCACCGGGTTTGTGGACCCGGCGCTTCCCGACCACGTGTGCCTGCTTTCGCGGTCCTTGTACGGACTCAAGCAGGCTCCGCGCGCTTGGTACCAGTGCATCGCGGCGTTTCTCCACCAGCTTGGGTTCCGCTCTATCCGCTCGGACACCTCGCTCTTCGCCTATCATCAGGGCTCTGACACGGCCTACTTGCTGCTCTCCTCAGTCAGCTCACGGCTCGTCTTCGTGCTGAGTTCACCATCATGGACTTGGGTACTTTGCACTACTTCCTCGGTGTCGAGGTGGTGCGCCGTCTGGATGGCTTCTCCGTTTATCAGCGGAAGTACGCTCACGAGCTCCTAGAGCGCACCAGCATGCTTAACTGCAAGCCCGCCGCTATGCCTGTTGATACGAAGTCCATGCTTTCTGCCACTGATGGTTCTCCTACTTCGGATGCTGCTTTCTATCGGTGTATCATTGGTGCTCTCCAGTACCTCACTCTGACTCGACCGGAGATCCAGTATGCCGTGCAGTAGGTGTGTCTTCATATGCATGCTCCTCGAGACGTTCACTGGGCTACCGTCAAGCGGATTCTCCGCTATATCCGTGGCACTATGGATCTTGGCGTCACGCTTCACGCCTCCGCCGACACCGTCCTCATCGCCTACTCCGATGCAGACTGGGTGGGCTGCCCTGACACTCGTCGCTCCACTTAGGGCTATTGTGTCTACCTTGGACCCTCACTTATCTCGTGGTCGTCCAAACGGCAGCCTACGGTCTCTCGTTCCGGTGCTGAGGCTGAGTATCGTGCGGTGGCCAATGCCGTTGCCGAGTGTTCGTGGCTTCGCCAGCCGCTTCAGGAGCTCTCTTGTCCTGTTGACCGTGCCACGATGGTCTACCATGACAACGTGTCGGCGGTCTACCTCTCCACTAGCCCGGTGCATCATCGACAGACCAAGCATATTGAGTTGGATATTCATTTTGTTCGGGAATAGGTGGCCCTTGGCCATATTTGTGTTTTACACGTCCCTACTTCCCAATAATTTGCCGATATCATGACCAAGGGTTTGCCTACATCGTCATTTGAGGAGTTTCGGTCCAGTCTTTGCGTCAGCCGCGGTGCCGCTTCGACTGTGAGGGGTGTTGAGTATATGTGTTATGTGCATATTGTGTATTGGGCACGCCTCCTAGTTCCTTGTATAGTTGAGGTCCGTGGCCCATCTTTTTACATCATATATACGTGCCTATGCATGAAGAGCAATACATCGTACAATCATAATCTCATATAGCCAGAAAGGTGAGGCCCTGCAGATTGGAGCTAGGCTTAGCGGCCAGAGATGCAACGACGGGTGGCCGATGGGTGACAAACAACCTCTCGACGGGGGTGTGACACGCCGACGGCGGCGGCTGAGATGCAGCATGGTTAAAGTACGACAAAGTTTTGCAGCCTCCCTGATTTATTTATTTTTTGTTGCGGGGAGGAAGAAGATGATTGACGCTACGTGCGCGCAAACAGGAAGGACGGTTTCATATTACCCCGGATCACCAGAGTAGATGAAGGAAATGCAATTAGTCAAAAATTAGACACGGAAAAGACTAAACTACCCTATCAAAGGAACGTACAGATTTACTCGGTACTCCCATCTATGTTTGGTGAGTACCAGGGTATCGTAAAAAACCTCTTGAACATACCAGTATTCATCATGTTCACGGAGCAGCCTACTTCATTATTGGTTAAATTGCTTGCCAAAATCACAGCACGCAAAGCGCATTAGCGCGCGAAGACATCAACATCAGCAGAAGTTGGCGATCAGTTTGTAATGGTGTCATAGGTGTGAGGCTCATTAGCAGATTATTGTGTGATCCACGCACAACAGACGATGCAGCTGCTGGCACTATTTAAATATAAAACTTTCTGTAGAGGAAAATTCTAAAACTTTCTGTAGAGAGAAATGTGTAATTATGCATATAACTTTCAGCATTCTTTTTACACAAAAGACAACTTTCCCCTGCTTAAATGGAATCAGGGTTTGAACTTTGAAAAGCAAAAAACATCCATAGCATGGCTATAAAAAATAGAGACAGTTAATTAACAAGATATAACACAAACTCTTCCATCAGCCATCAAACTCACACCACTATCCCGTCATCCATCCAACATGGAAACCAAACGAAAGCCACCAACACCAAAACAGCAATCTAAACTTCTTCAATTCTTGAGACTTCTGCTTCCTCATTGCCATGTCCAGCTTCATCACTTGATGCTTCAGCCACAACACCAGCCACCGCTGAAGAAAGAAACAATCATGGAAGAACACGCAGTCAGTATGCTATGAAAGCATCTTAGTGTCTGCTGATTACACATTCACTATGTTTTATTTGTGCCAATGACTGAAATATATTAGGAGTAAACATATATTCCCAAATCACAACTATACATGCATATAAAAATACACTTCTTCTTTGGTACAACCCCCCCTAAATACAACAACGGCTGAGATCGCTCCGTACCCCTTCGTTAAAAAGGGTAGGATCGTCTCATCACAAAAAAGCCGCCGCCCGCGCGACGGGGCTGTACCCGCGTCCGGTCCTGTACGGCGACTGCCCGTACATGCGTCAGCCCGTCTACGTGTCGTGTCGGGCCGTCTATGTACGACGACGTCCAGTTGTGGTCAAAGGAAAATAGACACGACACAATCTGTCGAGGGACGGTTGCGTGGCGTCGTGGCATCGGTCAAGGGACGGTTCCCGAGGCGGTCGCCGCCCCCGATGCGCCATTAAGGCCGACGTTAAGCCGGTGCGTCGGTCACCTACCGCCGCCCCACCCGTCCTTAAACACCCCCTCTCCCGTCTGACTCCCCCACCCCCACTCACCTCACCCACCGACGCCATCCACCAGACGCGCCCTCACTCCACCGACGATGCGTTCCCTTCTCGGCAGTATC